TTTTTTTTTTAAGCCGTATAAAGCCTTCACAAATATTGCTAGTATCATGAATATATGCATATTTATATACCGCCAAACTAATGAAAGGATGCCATTTTCTTATGGAATAAGTAGTTGGCACCTCTCCTTCACTTCTTAGAGAAAAATTTGTGTACGTAAGACGTACGCAACGCTGTGTACGTCATGAAGGTTATTTATAGGGTATTGGGGGGGCTATATCTGCGTTATACCCCCTGTAACCTACTTGTATCTTCTAGTAAATTTTGTGTTTTTGTTTTCATATATTTGTAGGTTACAGATAAGTTAAATGGGGCATAACGCGGATATAACCCCCCAACACCCTCTGAATAACTTTTTTGACGTACGCAAAACTGCGTGCATCTTACGTACGCATATTTTTAACCGCTTTTTAGCTTCCTTCTCACTCTCTTGTTCCACTATCTCCTCCTTCAGCTTCTCTTAGATTTTTTTAGGTAATTATATTCTCTTAGTCTTTTTTTTTAAGTAACTATAATATTAGTTTAGTTTTATTTTTTATATTTTTTTTTTCACATTTACTACTGTTATGCTGCTTTTTTTTAAAAAAAATATATTTATTTACTAAATGTTCAAATGCTGCCATTTATTTATTTATTTTTTTTTTGTCATTAATTTTTTATATAATGTTGTTATAATACACATCTGCTAGTTTTTTCCAGAGAATTTTTGTCCCACATCATTATGATGCCCGTAAATTTTTAAATTTTGTAATTATTTCTGCTATATCAAAACATTGTCCATAATTTATTTGAATTAGTAACGGCACATTAAAATATTGTCAGAAACTATTATAAATTATTTTCGTTGTACCGAATTGTTGTTCACATCATCAGGATCTTGTCTTACATATCATTATTAGAAAGATACAAACAATTTAATTTTATATGAAGTTTATTTAAAGCTAATGCAATTTATTTATGTTTATTTTTGTCCTCCAATATTTGTTTATTACGAGAACAGAATAGAATTATCCTTAGGTTGAGGTTATATGCATATGAAAAAGTTAGTGTTTTTGAAGCTATAAAGAACTTTATCAAAAAGGCCTAAACTATCTAAGGAGAGCTTGGGACGTAAGCGGTCTTTGTACCCATCTCCTCACCTAGAAGCTATTATATGAATGCATGTTTTTCATTATATATACCAAAACATATAGCAATTTATATTGTACCTCTTATTTTTTGTGGTTATAATAGAAATAATTTTAATTATGTTAAGGTAAATGCCAATTAAAATGAAAATAATGTAAGAGTCTATATAAAGTCTGGAAAACCGATGACACAGAGCTACTGATCTGAATGAGGTTAAAATAATTTCTCGATTCTTTGGTGTAATAACCTATATTGATCTTATAGAATTTTTAACATGTTAAAATTAATAATTTTATAATTTTTTTTTCAATTATTTCATCTACGTTGAAATATGTCATTATTGTCGATATTTTTTATGAATTATTAATGACATAACGAAATACTGTCCGAAAATATTTGAAGTTATTTGTGTCATGTTAAAATGCTACCTACATCGTCAAGATCTTATTTTGCACTTCATTATTAGCAAGGCATAAATAATATGTTTTTACATTAAGTTTATTTAAATCTCAATGCAGTTTATTTACTTTTTTTTATCGTGCAATATTTCTTATTACGAGAAGATGATATAATTATCCTTAGGTTGAGGTTATATGTATGTGGAATGTTGTGATTTTGAAGCTACAAAGAACTTTATGAAAAAGACCTAAACAAACTAAGGAGAGTTTGTGACGTAAGCGGTCTTTGTACCCCCTTATCACTTAAAAGTTCTCATAGCTACGAATGCATTTTTTTCATTGCATGTACCTGAACAATTAGCATTTTATATTACCAATACTATAACAATTAGTACTTTGTATTACTTTCAAACGCAAATGAAATATGAATTAAGTTGGAAATAATTACTTTTTATTATGCAAAGAAATGTTAGAAAAGTCTTTGAGTTGGGTTATATATATATATATATATATATGAAATATAGTACTTTTAAAACTACAAAGAAATTTGTCGAAATGATCTAAACTGCCTAAGGTGACTTGGAACAAAAACAATGGATTCTTTCCACTTGCATTGATTGTTGTCAAGTCCGAGTGAGTATGGTTTCTATAACAACTCTATGCACTGTGGGAAGTCATCCGCACTCGTCAAGTTCTATATATTATATCGGAAAAGCACACGGTATTGGTTCGTGGATGCAGAAAGATTTTCCCATGGGCTGCACATCGTCACTGCTTGCATCATCTACGAGAAAACTTTAAGAAGGATTTAATACGTCTTGCAATAGAAGATGTCAATTGTATCTGTGATAAAATGTATTGGGCGAAAAATACTGACAAACTCAGGATATTTAATAGGCGCATGAATGATGTTAAACAAATTAAGAAATAGGCATATGATTAGTTAACTGAGAAATACATCACGAAATGGTCTTTAACACATGATGGTGGATCTCGATTTTGCACAATGACAACAAACGCATCAGAATCTTTCAACGGGGTCTTGAGACGTGCATAAAGACTCCAAATTTTGGGCCTCATATGTGCTATATATATTTAAATTTGGTAATCTTATTTTTAAAACGATCCTGCAATGTTTCACAATGGATCGAAGTTGAGAGTTCTAACTTTGTTCCGTGCACAAGATCTACTCTGCAAAGAATTGAGTGCGGGCCCCGTCAGTTTCCCAAACTAACTTGCATAAATAATCTTGAATATCAGGTGTTCTATATGGCCTATAAAGCATTTCGTGTTGACATTCTTTCTTCAGAGAACTATTCATGCATATGCAGTACGCCTAGGGGTGTAAATGAGCCGAACACGACGAGCCTAGACTCAGCTCGCTG